CAAAACTTGCACCTCTTTTTATTCACTTCACATTAACAATCAAAACCACTACAGCTTCATAAAAACAAATAAAATATAGGGTACCGTTGGCATTGGCAAGTTACTCGAAAATGTATAATATCATTAATCAAAAGGCTAATCTTAATTTGCGAATTTTTAAGTACTACATACATAAAAATTATAATATACAGTCTTATTATTTATAACTTTATTAGTAAGAAATAAAATGGTAACTGAGAGTAAAAAAGCCAGTCTCAGGTTATTTGTAAATCAAATTAAAAAATATAATTGAGGGCAATATAAACCTGGAACAAAAAGAAAACGGTAAATAATTACAGTATCTAAAAATAAAGAATTAAGTTTTTAGGACCATTATTGTTACTTACCAATATATCATAAATGATTTAGTGTTACATTTCATAGAATATCAGTGAGCCAAGGTCCCCATAGGGTCCCAAGCTGGTAAAATAATGGGTTCCTGGTTGAAAACATCCAGCACCTCCTTTGGTACGTATTTCTTGTCAATGACGACTTCGAAAGTAAATTCTTTGAACCAGTCAGAAGTCATGATAAGGTAACCTTTTTCACCTCGTTCTTCGCCCCAAGAGTTTTCCACTCTTAGTTTTTCCACCTCGCCTTTTTCATTTGTACTAACAGCAGTGAAAACCATGGCATGTGACATAGCACTTTCGCCATATAACAGACGATCAGCTTTTGATAAAGTCACTTGAATGTCAACACCAAATACTAGTGGAAAATCATGTCTAAAAATATAAAAATATTTTTGATTTTAATAAAAGTTAATAGGTTTGCATTCGTATTCACAAACCATTTTCCAACTATTAAATAAGTAAGTAAATCAACACTCACGCTTTTATGTCTTGTATGCCATTTTTGGCAACATATCTCTTACTAACTTCGCATCCAAACCAAACGGCTTCACCTTCTTTGATACTTTTTGCTGTCAAATCGAGCAATAACTCAACGGGTTGATTGTTGTAAATGCACCTTCTACCGCCTACCATATTGCCCAGACAATCCACAGTGTAAACTTTTCCGTATTCATTGGTTGGCCTGGGATCAGTCACTAAACAAATCTAAAAATATCAATGTAGAATTAGTTTGCTTTACGAATATTCGGCCAGGCACGTCATCAATAGCGCCCCGCCCACCGCCGTTGCTAAGGTTTGTGTAACAGTACAGAGCCGTTCTGAATAAGGTGTGTTAAGTTATGATTTAACTGTTCCAAGAAATATTCAGAACCATTTATAATTCGTTGTTCCAACTGAAATTTGAATCAGTGGTTCCCAGATTTGTTACATCTGGCATGGTTTAGAGTCCTGCGGTCGTATTTAAAGAGAATAAGCAGTATTGTTTCGTGGTGAACAATGTTTTTTGTCACTAATCGAAGAAACCAGGCAGAAATCATAAATAAATAAAAAGAAACCGTTCGAACTTAAGCTTAGTTCAGAAATATATAATTAGTTGTACACACTCAGAAACATAGCCCATTACTGATTTAAGAACTGTTCGGAATTCTTGTTGGAAGATCTATTATTCTACCAACGGCAAAACAAATTCATAGGCGAGCATATGGTTTCTATGATTATTATGTTTTTTTTTTCTGATTCAAGATTTACTGTAATACTTATTTTGTGTGTTGACATATACACCATTGGTCAAAAGTAAAGCATCTCTTATGGTAAAATAAAATGAGCAACCGTGGAAATCAAAACTCATATAATTTATGTGGTCATAGTAGGCTGTTGACATAGGAAATGTCAAATAAGTGTGCAATAATTTACTTTAACAATATAATTTACTAGTTGACCCGATCTGGCTTCGCTGGAATTTCTCAAACCTCAATTATTAAAAGTGAATAACAGTTTTTGTTACTCGAGAGAAATTTTTTCATGCGATACCTACCAAAATTTTTTATTATCTTTTAATAATTTTTATTAACTTTTATTGTTATTAACTTTTATTGATTAAATTATTAATTTATATTAATTTTTATTATTTTTTTATTTTTATTATTTTTTATTGATTTTTATTAATTTTTATTAATTTTTATTAATTTTTATTAATTTTTATTAATTTTTATTAATTTTTATTAATTTTTATTAATTTTTATTAATTTTTATTAATTTTTATTAATTTTTATTAATTTTTATTAATTTTTATTAATTTTTATTAATTTTTATTAATTTTTATTAATTTTTATTAATTTTTATTAATTTTTATTAATTTTTATTAATTTTTATTAATTTTTATTAATTTTTATTAATTTTTATTAATTTTTATTAATTTTTATTAATTTTTATTAATTTTTATTAATTTTTATTAATTTTTATTAATTTTTATTAATTTTTATTAATTTTTATTAATTTTTATTAATTTTTATTAATTTTTATTAATTTTTATTAATTTTTATTAATTTTTATTAACTTTTATTAATTTTTATTAATTTTTATTAATTTTTATTAATTTTTATTAATTTTTATTAATTTTTATTAATTTTTATTAATTTTTATTAATTTTTATTAATTTTTATTAATTTTTATTAATTTTTATTAATTTTTATTAATTTTTATTAATTTTTATTAATTTTTATTAATTTTTATTAATTTTTATTAATTTTTATTAATTTTTATTAATTTTTATTAATTTTTATTAATTTTATTAATTTTATTAATTTTTATTAATCTTTATTAATTTTTATTAATTTTTATTAATTTTTATTAATTTTTATTAATTTTTATTAATTTTTATTAATTTTTATTAATTTTTATTAATTTTTATTAATTTTTATTAATTTTTATTAATTAATTTTTATTAATTTTTATTAATATTTCTTAATTTTTATTAATTTTTATTACCGAATTCATCCGAAGATGAAATCGACATTTCAATGTTTGTGAACATAGCATCAATTCAGTTAACTATCGTAAAGAATGTCGCTTTTCAGCTATCGCTTCAAAATGTGAACATAGTTCCACCCTTGAACTATATTGTATTGCAGGTACATATAAAAGTTTATGGCCTCAAGATATACATTGAACGAATGTATAATAATAATAATAATAATAATAATAATAATAATAATAATAATAATAATAATAATAATAATAATAATAATAAAAAAAATGTTAGAAACATCATGTCTTCTTTAAATTTTCAATGATTATGGTTGAATTTCGACCACTGGGTGAACTAAGTGACCCCTCAGATATAGCCAATACTTTCGCAAATCATTTTCAAACGTGTTACACAAAAAAAAGACAATACCGATTTTACTTCAATTCCATCAGTGCCATTTTCATCTACTCTCTCTCCACACATTTATAGTAGAAGTATCATCCAAAATTAAACATCTATATGCAACCAAAAATGCAGGTCTAACCATCCGTATTAAAGGGCTGCTGCGACTCACTAACTTTGCCTTTAGGTCTAATTTTTCAAAAATCGTTCGATAGTGGAATATTTCCTACTGTTTGGAAATTCTCTAACTTGGTGCCAATTTACAAGAAGGGAGACAAAACTGACATAAAAAATTATCGAGACATTTCTATAATCTCTACGATACCTAAATTATTTGAATCCATCCTGACTGACTGATAAAAATTACATTTCTCCATGCCAATATGGGTTCTATTAAGGACGCTCAACTACAACAAATCTTGGCGTGTATCAAGAGTACTTACTCTCTTGAAGTTGGTCATCAGGTTGACGCTATCTATACAGACTTGTCTACAGCTTTTGACACTTCAATTTGCCATGAACTGCTTCTTAAAAAACTAGCAGACATTGGTATTTCGGGAATTACCTTAATTGGTTCAACTCTTACAAGTCATCGTTCTCAGCGTATTACTGTGCAAAACTCAGTCTCTAGTGAAGTATCAGTGACATCAGGTGTATCACAAGGATCTCATATTGGCCCTGTTCTATTTTTATTGTTTCTGAACAACGCAACAGATTGTTTTCAAAACAGTGACTGCCTGTTATTTGCAGACGACCTTAAGTTTTTTAGCATAAAGACTAGTGACAACTTTGCCTTACAATCGGATCTCGATCGCTTCATGTGGTGCAAAGTAAATCATTTGTCCCTAAATGTCAATAAATGTGCTACAATCCACTTCACAAGTTCTCCCAACCCTACTCTGAACTTTTACAAGGTCGATAATGTGACATTAAAAAATTCCTCCTCCGTAAACGATCTCGGCATCATCTTTGACAAACGTTTATTCTTTAACCTGCATATCGACTCTATTGTGTGCAAAGCTTTTAGAATGCTTGGTTAAACGTCACTCACATCATATAAATGACACCAAGGCTCAGAGGCGGAAATTTCCCGGTGCGCCGGCCCCAACACCGAAAGGCGCCGGTCCTACAGACCCCGCGGTTTTTTATTTTTGTTTTTTATTTACAATTTGAAGTTTCAAAAGAATTAAAAAGCCAGAATGTATTAACTATTCTATTATTCTATTAAAGCAAGTCTGCAAATCATAAATATAGGCACATGCCAAAAGCGCCCTTACCCACAAAAACGTAGTGTTTCATGTCACGTTTGTAATGTTCCGTTGAGGATATAAGATATCTCCGGATTCGTCTGACTTTGGCATCTGCCTCTTTTTATTATTCCAATATTGCACCAATAATTGAGTACAACAAACGGGCGACGAGAGTGTTGCAATATAAATATGTTCTTAAAGTACGTTTATTATCTTGTGCTTAATACCATTTTCTTTTCAAAATAGTTATTAAGATTGTAATTGTACCTAATTCAATATTTTTCTTGACGAAATATCCAGTTTGTGTACAAAGTTAAATATTTTCATTGCTATCAGTTTTTTGATATTACTGCCTAAATTGAAATTAAAGGAAATCTGCATAACGGGTAAATTTCTAATTTGTGTTCGTTGCCAAGCGTATCGTCACATCAACACACACGAAACGTGTTTCCAGAAATTTGTACTAGAATTATCGCTCGGCAGGAGTTGAGTAATATACATTTCCCATTATTGATAATCTCTATTACTAATGCGCAAGTTGTACTTCTGCTAAAAATCATCAACATTTATTATGTTTCCTACCCTGCATTCCTATTAAACATCCGCAAATGTCATTTTGTTTTTGCGTTCAATAGTATTAGGCATTCCAAACAAAATGGCTACCAGTGGGGTTTGACAGATTATGCTATGGCAAAATTATGGCAACCCTGTAGGCCTGGTGATTTAACAAGGTCAATGAAATAGATAGTTACATAGATTGATCATCCATATTTTTCAAAATAAACTTTTACTATATTCAAAGGCTAAATATTGGTTTGTAAACACATTTTTGCAAAATCGATTCTGATTAATGAGCACTTGCGAGGCAATATGGCCGCTCGTAAACTACCCGCTTTGAGCAATCTATATAACTATATATGCATCATTGACCCTGTCAAAGACAACAGGCTCCCGGGGTTGCCATATCTAAATGTCAGTTCCCACTTGTCAACAGTTTGATAGGTCGTTGGAATGCCAAATTGGTAGGGAAGCCAGCTATTGTTCGCGAAAGCTAGAATTACAAATAGTTCGTTAATTATTACCTAGTAGAACATGAAAATAGTTTGCAGGGATGGAGCCATCGACAATAACGTTTTAAAAAAGCCTATGCAGAAAATGCTGTCATAGAAGCGCAAAGTTGAAATTATAAGAAATATTATTTACTTCAAAAGTTAGTAGAAAAAAGTGGTGCCACGTTGAAATTCAGCTCACAGTACCTTCTTGCTTGGTGACAGGATTTTTCCGTTAAATCAATTGCAGCAAAGTATTTCCATCTTCTACAGGGTAAGAATTAACGGTACATTTATAATCTAGCCTTGTGTACCAAAAAATTTTCACTGGCTCCTACTATATAGAATCGATGACAGTTGTTTAAAGTACCGATGACATGGGGTAATCGTCGTAGCTAACCCAACAATTATAGGTCGAAAATAAGAGAGGATAGCAGAAAGTATTTAAAAAATTACTAGATTCAGAAGTCCGCGTTTTTTTTCGCGCATAAGTAATGCGAAATTGTCGAATAATGGCAAAGGTGGATTGTCCGAGAA